TGTCATGCCCTAGCCTATCTACCATGAAAATATGAGCGAAATCGAATTTTCGACCCTTGCTGAGTTATTTTCCATTTTTATGGACAGGGACTCTTAAAACAGTGTAGAATTGAGGAATTATTCATTTTAATACAAACCATTTCATGAGTCCTGATAAAACCAACACCTTGACAACATCCTGACTGACTGCTGCTCCCTCCTCAGTTGACGTATAACCAGTCATGAAATGAAGAACAGCCTGGTAAGAAATTGAAAGCAATGAAACAGTTGTTGGCTTAGGTATGAATGAGTCTCTTTTGCAGATGACAGTCTATAGCAATCAGGTCTACAGAAAGGATTTTTTTCTTGATGGATAATGGCTCATGAATTAAATGAACTCCAGAAATAAAATGAAGTTAAAATTAGCACGATGGCCAAAATGTTAGCAACAATTATGGTAAAAGTACGACGTTTGGGATAGTTTACCCTGTGAGCAGTTACTTTCTCCTGCGCCAAACTGCTTGCAGGGTAGTGTAAGTCTGGAAGATTTTAATAAATTGCAAGGCTTTGATACACTGAAATTATGATGCAAACCATAAAATTCTAAAATATATATTATAAATGTCATTTGAATATTAGAAAAAGTTGACAGATTTGTATGCAAAAGGCTACAGGAGACTATCTCCAACAAGGACTCTGACAGTAACTCGGACAGTAACTCTGACTTTCCATAAAGGGTAAAAAAAGGGCTTATGCATGATGTGAAAAGCTAAGAGAGCAAAAACCTGTGTAATGTATGAGAAGTAATTGAAAAACAAGCATGATGCAAGAATTCATCAATAAATAATTTATTGTAAGTTCAAAAACATACATTGTAATTGTGACTTTTGTCAAAATTTGTCCATGAAACTGGATCTTGACCACACCCCTTTGTTACCTTTTTACAATTCCACTACCACAGCCTGCAGTTCAACTGCAAGTTTCTGAGCGGCAGCATAATATTGTTACAACTGCATTTAATAACTGGTAAATATCATCCATAGATTTATGCATGTCTACCTCCCATCTCTCCATGCTATATTTGTCAAGGAATGTGATGTCTCTTGCATGCTTGTCCTTTTCAGGTTGATCACCAGATCCTATCCATGGATTCCCTCTAAAAAGGAATGACAAAATAATAGACTGTGAATGAAACAATTGAGTGCGTTGAATATGAAAACAAAAAAGTTAAATTAAGGAGCTTTGCACTAAATTACCTACCCCCCACAAAGGGCAATCTTCAGATTGCTGCGGAAAATTGCATTCATCTCAAGTCTATTAGGTATTCTGCCACTTGCCTCCTTCCATATCCTCAGACCCTTGAGTCTGTTTAAAGATCCTATATAATGCCTGTCATAAGGTAACAAGGAAATAATTACCTTTAATAGTTAAATTTAACAAATTAATTACTGTAAAAGAAGAAATGAAATGAGGCCAAATTTATCCTGGTAGAACAAAATAGTATTCATTTGATTCTTAATGATTGTTAATCTCATGAGGTGGAATTTAAAGGACCCCGGTCAGCATTTACCTTTTTCGATGCCATCAAAATTACTGATATAATTTGTATGGTGAAGTGAAATCTTATGGCTTTGCTGTAAGCTGTGTTCCCAAAGTATGTTTAATAATCCTTTAATTACTAGTTTCACGGTGATTTCCTTTGCTTGGATATGCTCCAAATAACATATAATAGCCAAACTCTGGCTAAATTTTTGTACCAAAATCAAAGGTGTGGCCTACTAGGGCCCTTTGAGGTTACTATATACCTTCAGGGGTATCTCGTGTCCAAGTGATGCAGCGTGTCCGGTTTGAACTGTAGATACCTAAACCACTATCAAATTAAAGCTTATAAAGCTGGCTAACAAACAATGCCAAAGTTTGAAATTAATTTTGTTTCATAAATTCCACAATGTTGTCTTTTTCGCTCATTTAAATAAAAACAAGAATTCAACAAATCCTTCTTTGAACTGTCAGTCCAGGTAAACAGACTTTCAGTCCGGGGAAATTGACAAGACTCGAACTGGCAGTGGCAAAACGACCCATAGGTTATCATTGATATTAACAGTATGTAAATGCACATCACAAATTAAATGACCAATACAACTGGATTTTAACGTATCATACTTTTGGTGTTCACTTTTGACCCATGCAGCTACTAAGGTTTCAGGTATAGGTTGGTCAGCAAACAGAGTTCTCATGACAAATTGCTTTGCAAGTTCTGGCAACTCCCTGAGATAAGAAGTAGTAAAAACATGATCAACATATCTGCAACAGAGTGTTATAATAATACTTAAACTACCCATGTTGTGGTCTGAATTTTGGTTTGGTTTAAAATCTATTGTATGTTGCTCCAACCCCCTCCACATCTCACTAAAGCTATGTTGAACCCTCATTTAAAAAAAAGAAATAAGGCAAACATTTTTTCTGACCAAATTAGAGGGAATTAGCAGCTTTGCTAGAAAGTGTCAACTATCTTGGTTAATGTATTTCACATAAAATTTGAGTGCAGATTTTAAAAGGGTTGACAGTAACCCTGCCATAAATCGAGTGACAGTATACAATCTCCAGCTACTAGCCTGCATAGCAAGCGTTACTGTACGAGCCAAATGAAAGCAGAGTTTTTCGCATTTGGGATGTGCGAAAAATGGAGTGAGAGTAAAAAGGTTGAAAAAGCGAAAAGCGATCCTGTTTCATTGAGCTTTAACAAAAATTTGCTAAAACACAATTCAAAATCTCCCACACATTCCGCCATTTTGATCTTTTTGATTCCAAGTTTAGCATAAAATTTTGATACCTTCACGTCAAACCTATCAATCAAATAAACCATGCCACACCAATCAGAAGCCCCGTTAGTGGGTGAACGGGTTTTTCAGAATCGAGGGGTTTGCAGGCAAGCATCCCCTCCTTTCCCCACCCCCACCCTGTTTCTTTGGCCTTTTTGCTCTCACCTCACTTTTCACATGGCCTGAATTGCTCTCGCCCCATTTTTCATGCGGCCAGAATGCAAAAAAAAGCTATTTTGTGTGGCCTGATTTCGTTCAGCTCTTACAGGAATGCTTGCTACGCAGGCTAACTTCCAGCCTGTGGACCATTCTANAAGCTTCAATAGCCATTTTATCAAAATTAAACTTCTACATTAAGTTTGAGCTTAACTTGAGGTTAAAATATTAAAGGGGGATTTTGATTTTGTTTTTCACATTGCCAGTTTTATTTATAAGCTGTGGAAAAAATTAGAAAACGTTCCCTCGTGTTGTGCTAAATTAAAGCATTTCTCATCAAAAGTATATTCATTTTTCTCCTATTAAGGTCAACATGTACAGGAAATTGGACCATGGCATGCAAACATGACTGAGGTGCACTTCCCATAGATCTACATAGCTACATACACAAAAGTCTAAGCTGACCTGAAAACAGCTAAGCAAATAGCCGGGTGATTATATAACCTATCCAATATCCCAGAAGGCAAACTTCCTAAATACTGGTGAAGATCTCTGCATTGCAAATGCCGAAAAAAAGAAGAACTGGAGAGATCAGCGGCCGCCATGTTTGTTGGTTCGAAGCCTGAACACGGGGGCCTCTTGGGACTATGCTGTTGTACCTGTACGAGCCCCTTTTGTTATGACGGAACCTGATCTGGCTTTTCTATCGTCGACAAAGATCACTTCATGCCGGCTCGAAGTTCTTCTTTTATTCCTTTTGTTTAGCATCTTGCAGCGTAAGTGCGCTTTCAAAGTGCACCACTACCATCGATTGCTAGGCTAGTGAAGAGTGTAATGCCGAAAACAACAACTTTCTACCGGTAATGCTTTGAACGCTTCACTGGGCGCAGCAAAAATATTTTTGTTTACATCGCGTAATCCTTGTTTTCGTTCGAACCAACAACCATGGGATTTGGACTGCAGCTTAGACTCCTGCTTTGGAAGAATTTCACTCTGAAGAAACGAGCTCCAGTAAGTCTCTTTAAGATGATCATGGTAGCTTTTTCCCGTTGTATTTGTGACCTGACACTTAATTGCACATTTAGTTTCATATTAAGCTTACATTGAGGACGTCAACATTCACGATCTTGCTCGGCTCTTTTTTTCAGATTACTGTTCTGATTGAAGTCCTTATACCATTGGTTTTGTTCCTTATTTTGATGAGCATTCGTTTTAGACGAGAACCGGACTTCGTTCCTGAAGGTATGACTAAGCTTAAATTTAACTTATTACGGCAACATTTTCTTTGTTATTGGCAAGCGAAGCGTTAATAAGGATTAGTTAAAAATTATATAATACGCGTAAAATAAGGTTACTTAAGCATACGTGTGCTTAAAAAGCTAAAAAAACTTACAAAGTTTACACGTGTGTTAGCCGTAACCATTACGTTTTAAGTGTATAATTTTCATTGTAATCCTGGCAGCGCCATGACTTATGGGGAACCCGGCCGTATAATTATATATAGTATTCGCAGATGTCCGAAGATTTCGTAATGTGATTGAACAGTAGTTTTGCCTTGAAAATCAGAGAATTGGGGGAAAGTGTTCCGTCCTTTACATGGAATTTTTTCTTGCATTAGTTTAAGTTTACATATTTTGCTCCATGTGGGCATGAGAAAGTAAAGTGGTCCTAGGTGCAATGTGTATTGGAGTGAGAGCATAGTTTTTAACCCAGAGGCATCCAAATAATGGTGTGCCATTGGACTGATGATATCATTGCAATACCTAAGCGTACCTTTTTTGTATACTCCAGTGGCATATCAGGGGAGTTTGGTTGAGAGTTTGTTCGTATTTTGGCAAGACGTAGTGGAGCCAAAATGCCCATGGTGAGACCAAATGAACCTTATATGGTACAGGTGTATGTCACCAAAGCATACAATACAATAATGGGTTGTAATTGATCACTTGTCCCTTTGGCAGGGGAATAAATTTTTTAGACCACAAAAACGTTTGATTCCCTGTTATCTCCTAAGTGACTGGTGCATAAAACAATATGCAGTCGTCTAGTTCCATAAGAGGGTGTTCATTATACTGTATCATGAATATAATTTTTCTTGCATTTTGATTGGAATTGGAGGACAGGCGTCTTTCATGCAATATATCAGGGACTTTCCAAGAGAAGATTGTGCAAGGAATATCTTGGATGAAAAGTCAACAATACACCGGGGGTTAATATGCATGGCACAAAAATGACGTCACAAAAATTTAACCCCTAGTGTTACTCAGACAAACAAACCATTCCATGGAACAACTGCGCTCATGAGCACTTCAGTAGAATGCTCAGCGATTAATTTTGCAAGGCAAGGGTCCCTCTAGCTCAAAATGTTACAGAAAACCTTCAACATGTACTTTGGAATAATAACAATAATAGAGTTTGACCGTGGGTAGCAAAATATGTTGGGCTTCTTACATATAAAGGCTGTTCATGAATACACTCCTTATGTCCTTAGGAGAAAAAAATATTACCATTCTCAGGGATTGGGAAAGTAAACAGGCAAATGAGCCTATGGCCCATGGCACTGGAAAGTTATGGGCCATTTATAAAACATTTGGGCCATTAGGGCGAACAAGTGGGTCTCNATTCTCCAGCCTTTCTATGGCCTTTCTCTCCTCTTGCCAAGATTGGAAAGGAAGACAAATAATTTGAGCCAAATTTGTATTTGTAGTTTATTTTTAGACTTTAATGTGCTGATGTGTTGTTAAATAAAATAATGAGAAACTTACATGGTGATCATAACCTTCTGCTACTACAAGTCTCCTCCTGCAGTGCATGTACATGTACATGTAGCTCTTTCAAGGCCGTTCCCCCTTCAATAGGATGTAAAAACAACTACAGTATGTGCATGTTCCAGGGAGCTTAAAAGAGAGCTTTTGTGGCACAGAGACTGTTGCTCTTTGTAGTTTTTTACCGACTGTAAATTATCATTATAGTTATACTGTACATTAGTGTTAGTAGTACAATGTAATAATTGCCTTTGGGATGCTGGGATGGGATGCTGGGATGGGATGCTGGGATGGGATGCTCTTGGTGAAGTGGAGGTGGAGTGCTCTCACAGCTTCTAGTCCAGTAGATTCTTATTGTTGGGCCTTTCTTTTAACACAGAGGTGTTTCCAGTTCGTGCCCTGCCATCATCAGGAATCATCCCTCTGCTTCAGCAGTTTTGTAACAACAAAGATAAAGATGAGCATGGATTTCCAGTGCATCCAAATGCCAGGTAGAATTACTTGTCCCTTGTTTTGTATTCTTGTAATAAAAAAGACTCTTCACTCTCTCTAGAACAGTTTTGAACTCTGTCTGAATCTCATCATATCTTTTTTTGGTCACCAAATCTCCTGGAGATGAGGGAAAGTGTTAAATTTAAAGTGGTGAGGGGTTAATCAGGAATGGAATTTTTTAAAACAGTGGTCACTTCCAAGAAGGAGTTGTACAAATTTTCCTGGGCAGTACTTCATGTTTCAGAGCCCAAAGGTATCAAGGTGGCAGTTTGTAGGCCACTTTGCCCTTGACTCCATTGCCTTACAGTCAGACCAGTCAATGGCTATTTTTAGGAGAGACTCAGAGAAACAGAGTTGTAGTACACAGCAAATTAGGCTCCCATAGTTTGACAGAAATAGCATTTCATCTAAGTTGTTTGTGTTTGACATACCTGTAACATTTGCCTTTTTGTTCCTTCAGTATCGGCACTGTTCTGGATCACATTGCAGACATTTTGTCATCACCTGGTCTGTCTACTGCTGATGACTTGAAAACGCTGCCACAGGATTATGACGAATTTCACAAGAACTTAAACAAAATGGTTTCACATGCTCAGAATGTTGATAGTAAGTCCATTTCTTAAATGATATAGATTGTTGTAATGTGTCAGTGATTGTCATAGAGAGCAAACAACCTATGTGCTCTACAGACTGGGTGATGTTTACCTACGCAGGGCTTGAAAAAAGTGTCGTCCAGTCATCTGGGACAAGTAGATTTTCCTGCTGGGCAAGTAATTTCATTCCCACTTGCCTGTTGGGCAAGGGCCCAAGCAAGTCACTTGCCAACTAAATAAAAAAAGTAATCTAGGACTTGCCAGGGCAAGCAAAATTTGAGAGCTGCTTTTCCAAAGTGCAAACTGGAATTTAAGTTTTTTTCAAGTCCTGCTTCGTGCAAAGATCTGGAATTACCTCTGTTGAATCCTGGATAGCCTTGTTTAATGCCGATTAAGCTAATCCAGGATTTAAGTGAGTATATGTAGTTTGATTCCACTTTTGTAACTTTTCACTGAGTCCATTTATTGTTTGCCCCTCACTCTTAAGTCTCAATATACTCCCAGACTATACAAACAATTAGCAGCGGAAAGCACTTCAATCTTTACATCAGAAATCAGGAATACCTCAAATAAAATTTTAATCTTGGTTTGGCCAATAAATCTGCCTTTAAGAAACTCAGCCCAGGAGATTTACTTTAAGACCACAGTCTGGGTAAAAATTACTTTTAATTAAATATTCCAGCAAAAATAATTAACAGTTACGTAAAATAATGCTTATATTTTGTTGTCGGAATGCCATGTGCAACCTACTGGCACTCCTGTATGGAGTAGGAGGAAATGTTGGTTGAAACCACAAATCCACCTCCCAGAAAGAGTGGTCCAACATCCAATTATGTCTTGGAGTTTTCAAGGTTACTGTTCAGTTTTCTTATGGTTATATTTGACGTCTTTGTAGACTTCACAATAAGGGAAATACTGACTGATCCCAGTGAAGTACAACAGTTTATGCAGAACTTGTCTATCCCACCATCTGTGGCTGAAGGACTACTTAACTCTACTGTGAATTCAAGAGAGGTGAGATTTTTGTAGGTAAACCGTCAACAACATGCATTTACCCAAGATACATTGTACATACTGTACATGTACTGTTCTAATTTTCCTATGGACCGAGGTGTATTTGTCCATAATCTCAAATATCTCTTGTAGAATATTAATGAATATGCACATATTGTAAGATGCCTGTTTGAATCTTGACCATGGTTACTTTTAATTGCCTGTGGTTTCCACTTTTTAGCTAGCAAAATATGTTGGTGTCCATGGAAAGAACATTTTGAAGCAACTTCCTTGGTCTGGGAACCATTCAGTGCCTGGTGACAACCTTAACAGATTTCCAACACAGAGCTCCTCACCTGGAGGAGCTGACCTTCTTGGTCTTTTGCTTTTTGGTACCATGAGTAATCTTATGGGTGCTGCACCCAGACCACCATCACCTCCACATACACCTGCAACCAATTTCACTATTCAACAGGTTTGTGTACATAAATTATATATCAATGTTTACTTCAATTTACAAGTATGAGTAGGAACTAGGGAGGGTGGAGGGCGCGGTCGAGCACAGAGCATTTTGTTGCATACACTGTTACAGTAATACATCAGAACAAGCCATGCAGCTACACATGTGCCAATGCCAGATAAATTGTGCTACAATTTTTGCATAAAATAGGATGATGACCCCTCTTGTGGTACCCACTTACATGCAAATGCTTTCTCTTTTAGCCTTCAGACACTACTAATGTGCAACCAAATACTTCATCGTGCAATGTAACTGAGCTGGAAAGAGTCTTAGTTTTCAAAGGTGCAAATCAAAAGGTATATCATGTGTTGTTCATAACTAAGGCAACTAGTTAGCTACTGTTATTGACAGTAGTAAAAGGTATTTGAACAATCATGTACTTCAATGGAAAAAAAAGCAATTAGTGTAGAAAGAAACTTGACAGTGTCTGGTTTATACAGTAATTAGAGGTGCATGTAATAGAACCATAAATGAATAAAATTTAATACTAGTGTCAGTATTAATAGTTTGTAATCAATTTGTATTTTATTTTAGGAAACACTCCAGCATTTATGCCAGCTGACACCTCAACAAGCACAGGTTTTGGCTTCCTATCTTCAGAATCGTGTAGATCGTAAGGCTGCTATGCAAAAGGTAGGCTAGGTTTATGTGTATATTTACCAACAGTGGGTCATATTGCTGGCCATTGATCTGATAACTTTGAGTAAATTTGTGAAAACTGTAGTTAACGATGAAATTATACTTGAATCACTTGAAAGTTGTAACATTTAACTATAAATACAATCTGTAATTTAACATTATTATTGTTAAGCTTCCATAGATCTGTATTCTTGTTAGGATCTTAATTTGACTTAACTGATTATTTTGCTCTATATTTGATACACACGACCATAATTTTATTAATTGTATCCTTTAGATGGCTGCTTAATTTTTTTAGCCGTATGGTTGTTATAGGCAGCTAATACCATATTTGTAAACTTCAAATTATTCTTATTGTTTCTTTCCTTTTTTGGTTGTAAATATATGTTGTTGTTGTACATGTAAGTTGCATTAAATTCTTCTTTCCTTTTTCCTTTTTTTTGGATGGAGGGGGGACCTCACAAAGGGGAGCTTAGCTCACTTGGAATCATGATAGATCCAAGTGCACAAAACAAAATTAATGTACAGTGGGATCTTGTGTGTAATGTTAATAATGTCAATGTCAATAATTCATCTACACAAAAAAGTAACATTGCCTACATTTTGTATATTTTTTAGCTGAATGTAACCCGTGAGGATGTGATTGCATACAACAAGTCATACACAAAACTCAGAGGAGATGTAAGTGCTTGAACTTGCTTTTTATTTAGCTACTCTGATTCTTATGGGGACCTTGCATTAAGCTAGATGTGAATACAGTTGCACCTCTATTAAGTGGCAACCTGTTGAGGGGTCACCCACCTGTTAAGTGGCCAGTTATCTAGGTCCAAAACTTTTGTAAATAAAACCCCCCATTAACTGGCCACATCTATTAAGCAGCTGCAGCCACCTTTTGGTGGTCCCGATAAGGGTTTGCTATTGTCCTTTCCCTCAAGTTGTTAAGTGACCACCCAAGATTTAATAGAAGTATATATTAATTATAGTTATGTACTTTGACTTTGTTTTGGAAAAGGCAATGACAGAAAAAGGGTCTGAGGTAGAAAGCAATTAAAGTTTATATGTTTATATGTTTATACTGTGGTAGACTACATTTGTGGACATTTATCGGAGTCTTAACATGTATTTGTACCCATAAAAAGCCTTGATGAGCATAGTCAGGTTAGGGTGAGAACAGTGTCTGATATTTCAGTTTCTTTTCCAATTTTCAGCTCAAGAATTTGACTGAATTTGTGCACTTGGTACAGAAGGGAGTGGAACTAGCACAACTGCTTCGCCTCAACCTCTCCTTCACACAGCACCTCGAGAACAAGACTACATGGCAGAGAAGAAAGATTTACCTGCGGGAGATGTGGAAGAATCTTGGTCCTATCATATGCGGACCAGATCCAGATGCCCAGCCCAAAAAGAAAGTGATAGATCACATGTATGACTATCGGTGCCGCACATCGGGTTGTAGAACGAGAGCAATGCGCCTTATGCTCTATCTCCTTCTGCACAATCCTAAAATAGCGTACTCTCCAAATGGCACCGCTGCCGACAAAGTCATTGAAAAGGTGATTTCAGTTTGCTGTAGACGCTACTTCATCAGTTTTGGGCTGTGATATAATGGTTTTGTTGTAGTAGCTGTGTTGTGCTATGTTCAAAGGGGCTTGTGAACCTTATACATAGTCCTTGGCACAATGAAAGTGTATTTAAACTTGGGCTAACAGAAGTTCACAGCTTCTAGTTGTAAAAATGCAGTTTCGTGTTAACTTGTGAATAATAACACAAATATTTTTTCCTGAACTGCTGGGCCTACCACCTTGTGAGATAAGCAAAGTTTTGCTGCGTTGTTGCTGCATGTTTGCCTTACAATAGGGTATTAAAATCTCGCGAGAAGTTCAAGCAGTCGTATTTACAGTTTTTTTAAGCTCTCACAAGGCGAATGTCTCGTTTCGCAAAGAAAGTTTCGTCTTTCGAGACGAGACTCTCGTCTCACTGACTCTTGTCTCACGAGAGGGTGGTAACTTACTTTTGAGCGGTACTGTATCAGGCGATAAAGCAAAATTATGGACAGTAAAAGAGTACTGAGTACATGAATGCATGTCTTCACCTCAGTTTCTTGCTGTTATGTTATGGCTTTGCAAGGGTTTTGGTTTCATAATTTGCGTGAGAAATGGAAGAAGTTTTGATGAACTGAACATGCTTTTTGGTCACTTACAAGAATTCTTTCACATCCATATAGGCGAACAGGACATTTTCAGACATCGAGAAGCTTCAACACCTGGCTGAAGATTGGTTGAACACTTCACAGAAGATTCGTAGAGTGCTAAAGCTAAATGACTCACAGTACTATCTTGGACTTGTACTGAACAGTAAACACAAGTGCCTTCGCCGTCACAATAACATGGCTCATAATTTAACCGGATACAAGCCCAGTGACTATTTCGGGTATTTCTTCCCATGTTAACCTAGTCTGTCCACTTATGTTTATTTTTTTTTCTACGTGTGATTTTTTTCGAGCGCCCATGTGTTCGTTTTTTCTCAAATCCACTGCGGTGAATACTTTTGCTTCCTATCCCGACAAACTCAAGACAAAGTAGAGTGTGTGGACAGGCTAATGTTAACCATAGGGGTTGTTGTTGTTGTTGTTGTTGTTGTTGTTGTGGTTATTTTTCACATTAAAATTGTATATACTATCAAATGTTGTTCGTTTTACGAAACATGTTTCAGCGTACAGATATATCCGTTTATAAATCAAGTTACAGTTTATTTCCACAGAAATGCTATGAAACAAAACACCTGTCAACCTTGTCCAAGAACAGGTGGCCTTTTCGAGCTGCGAACTTCAAAATAACTGGGCTCATGTTCAACTTGCTACACAAGCATGTAATACATTTTGCATATTTTCCTTTTCAGGCAATATCAAGGTCTTGACGAGCTACTGACCCGAAGTTGTGACAACACCAATCCCTTGATTACTCAACTGGACACCATTGACAATGTGGCTCGTCTGTGGCTGGAAATGGCCTCACATCTCAACCTTAACATCTTCAAGGGTTTCAAGGACGAGAAGTCATTGGTGAACTATGCTCTGAATATTAACAACTCAAGGGGAGGAGACACCTCCAAAGTGGTTGCAGGTCAGTGTTACCTGGTTATTATAGTGTCTCTGCATGTGATTGTATTACAGGGTGATTAGGTTTGAGACATTTGTTGTGAGAATGGCTGCTAGATGAGAACAAGTTCATGTAGCCGTGTGGAGACAAGAAGACTGGGAAAACCTGGATTGAAGCAGACACAGTTAGCGCTTGCTTGTTGACAATCCAAGACTCATTGCGTCCCAAAATTTACAAATATTCAACTATAGATTTTGGGTGCATTTTTCACGTGGAAACAGATTGCTCCTAGGGGAGATAGACGAAAAAAGGAAAAAAAAACATTCTCCTCGAGTTTGGCGTGTTCTTTGCCAAAATCCTTGCATTCGAACTGAGATGCCTGAAAACTCTGTTAAAATTTAATGGTAAAATCAAACTTAGTCTAGTGCCAAAATTTTTCAAACACCTTTAGGGCACTCACTGAAAGCTGTAGGAAATTTCCTTCAAAATGACAAATCACCTTCAGCGAAAACCTACAAAACCTTTGTTAAAACTATTTTGTTTTCAGGGATTGTGTTCATGAATATCAAGGTGAATGCTAGCCTTCCTCCTCACGTCAAATACAAGATTCGAATGAATGCCACTTACTTCACACCTGCAACTGATAGTATCCGTGACCCGTACTGGATGCCTGGGCCTCAGAGCTGGAACCAGCGCTACTACGATCTGGGATTTACCTGGCTACAGGATCAGATAGAAAGGGCCATAGTGGATCTGCATGCTGAACGGGATGTGATCAAACCTGCTGTGTACATGCACGAGATGCCATATCCGTGCTACGTTAGAGACAAGTGAGAGTTCTAGTTGTGTTTATCTTCATTTGAATGAAGGGCTGTTCACAATTTGTGACAAACAAGCCTTAGGACCTGTTACATTGTGTTTGCAGTCTGTAAACTAGGGCGTTTTCACTCACGTGGCCAGCAGCCATGCAAGTTTATTGGAACCAAAGAAAAAAAAAGAAAAGAACGGATAATACATACATGTAAGATAAAAAAATATGACGCATGCCCTTTCCATATTTGTGGAGCATGGCGTAATGGCTCATAATCCATGATGGCTAAGCCAATGAAAACTTTCGAATTGCATTATCCAATGATCCAGTTTTTTAATAATTTTGGTATTTCTCTTTTCTTGTTCCTGTATAGTTTTATGTTCATCATTGAGCACATGATGCCACTGTGTATGACAGTGTCGTGGATTTACACTGTAGCACTGGCCGTACAAGCCATCGTCTATGAGAAAGAACAACGGCTGAAGGAGGTCATGAAGATGATGGGTTTGTCCAATGCCGTGCACTGGGTGGCCTGGTTTATAACATCGCTCTGTGTTATGTCCATCACTGTGTTTCTTCTGGTTATTACCCTGAAGGTAAATAGCTCTACTTACTTTTGTTATGTGTGGGAGGTGCAGTCGTGGCATCAGGGTTCGTGCGCTCGACTCTGGATCAAGCGGTCTGGGTTCAAGCCCTAGCTGGGGACGTTATGTTGCTTTCTTGGGCGAGACCTTTCTTCACCTAGATGTATAATTGGGTACGGTTCGGGCGAAGTTAATGCTGGGGGTAACCCTGCAATGGACTAGCATCTCATCCAGGGGAGAGTAGTAGTGCTACAGAAAGCGGGATAAGCTCCGACTGTATGGACCACTTTCACGATAATACTGAAAGTTGTCAAGTTTTAGTGAGGCACTAACGTAGGCTCTCCTCTTCATGTCCACAGTACGGCAAGGTGTTATACTACAGCGATCCGTTGGTCGTTTGGGTGTTTCTGATGGTATTTGCCGTGGTGACGATTGTGTTATGCTTTTTGATCTCCGTGTTTTTCTCCAAAGCAAAGATATCCTCTGCGTGCGGTGGGATCATCTACTTCTTAACCTACCTGCCATACGTGTTCATCTCTATCCGAGAGGAGGCTGGGAGCGTAAACGTGTCGGGCAAAGAGAAAATGGCTGCCAGTCTCTTCTCCACCTCCGCGTTTGGACTGGGTGCTAGGTATTTTGCGATCTACGAAGAAGAAGGAGTCGGAATGCAGTGGTCCAATCTGGGCAAGAGCCCCGTATGTATTTACTTTATTTATACAGAAGCGGAACATTACATTCTGCGTTCTCTTTATTAGAAAGTACTCTTGCCAACGTGTTAACCTGTGAGTACAGTTGTACTTTGTGCTGTAATCCATACTTAAGTACTAAGGAATACCTCGAGTAGTACTCAACTGAGTTGTTCGCTTAACTGCAAAACTATCGAATGGAATTAATCATGTGCGGCATAGTTTTACCTTTTAGTCAGTTCGCTAGAAGGCCTTGAATTTAAACTTTGTCACTTGCTTGTGTAATTTTAACTATAATTGCTACGTGTAAGTTAATAGGACATTCCTTTTCTCTACTGTCATCTCCTGCCTTTCCACAATTTCTTTCTCTTGCCATTATTACTTGTAAAAGCACAGCCTTTGTGCCAATAGAACTGAACACAACCTAAAATCCTCCTCTCTCTTCTCCAGGTTCAAGGCGATGACTTTAACCTGTTGAAAGTTATGTACTGTATGATGATGGACACTGTAATCTACGCCATCTTGGTGTGGTATATTGAAGCTGTTCATCCTGGTTCGTACGGTCTGCCTAGACCCTGGTATTTCATCTGTCAGCCATCTTACTGGTTTGGCCACAATACGCAAGCCTGTCCTAAGATGAGCCGCCGTACATTCCAGATGATGACAGCGGATGAGTTGGAGGATATGCCTCAGGCACAAGGCCTTCTGGCGTATGAACGAGAACCTATTCACCTGTCGCTTGGTGTGACTATTGAGAATCTTGTGAAGGTACCAGATTAAGGAGCTTTCTTTGGTGGTGCTGTTGTGCCTTGATAAACGTCCTCTGTAAAGAAATATGTGGTAGTAGTAACAAGCATCTATTACATAATGAGAAAGCAAAGTTGCGACATTTGGCTGACTGTCGACCAACGTGTTGGCCAACGCATCGTTGGAATCGGATTCTTTACCTTAACCTTTAAGTGCGATGCCATGATAATTGATTTTATGCAGTGTGCAAACGTTTCCTCAAAATGAAGAGGAGAGTAGTAGTAGTAGTAGTAGTTACGTTAGGTAGAAAAAATCAAAGAAGTATCTAAGAATAAACTAGAAGATACATAGATGGAATAGAAATGAAGAAGATTGAGACGGAACTTGATCCTTTACCCACATTGTTTTAATTTTGAAGATTTCACCCATGAGCTCCTTTAGGTTAACTTTGTATACAGATGAAAAACTGCACAAGTTATAGTGTAAAGGAATCAAATAAACAATGGTCGTTTTAGCAACTTTGCTGTTTTTAACAGGTATACAAGGAAGGAAAGAAACTAGCAGTAGATGGTTTAACACTAAATCTCTACGAAGGACAGATAACCTCGTTCCTTGGTCACAATGGGGCAGGCAAGACTACCACCATGTCCATATTGACAGGCCTGTTCCCTCCCACAGCGGGTACTGCTTATGTCTATGGCTGTGACATCCGTGTGGACATGGACAAGATCCGACGCAGCCTGGGAATGTGTCCGCAACATAATGTGTTATTTGACAGGTCTGTTAACGGCAAGCGCACTGTTTATTGCGCGGAGGTTTCGTCTACATGTATCTCGCTTTCTAGGCCTTTGGTCCGATTGTGACGTAGAGCTCACTGCTTATTAGTGGGTATTAATATTTCTTGGGCATGTCAGTTTGTCTGCAATAATCTCTTTATGACAAATCAGTTGTACATTGTATCTACTAAGAGAAGGTTTTTTCATTGGTAATTAAGCTAACAGCAGATTTTGTGGGATGTTTAGGATGACGGTAGATGAACATTTGTGGTTCTATGCACGATTGAAGGGAATGCCTGAGAAGGATGTCAAGAGAGAGATGGATCAGTAAGTATCTTTGTTCGGGGCATGGCCGTGAAAAAGGCGAATAAGGTTATTTTATTAACTCAAACCACTGGGTGAATCTCTCTCCAAACATGACGTACAGTACCGTTGAAAAGTACGTTACCACAGGCTCTCGTCTCGTTTCTCTCGTCTTGTGAAAACCGGCGAAACTTACATTTTGGAATATTTACAAGCAGTTAGCTCGCGAGGAAATTATTAATTTCTCGCGAGGCGTTTGTCACGCTTCGTGAAGATCTTTGTTCTTTTTTCGGTGGCACGTATCCAGTGTATAGTGATTTTTTTTTTTTGTATTTTGTATTTATCCTGGCTGTGGAAAGTGTTATACACCCTAAGCCTTTGAACAACTGGGATCAGAGGAGTAGGTTCTTAGGAAACTGTTGTGTTGCATTGGGGTATAATTGAAAACTCTTGACGTAGTTAATAAGGTAGATTGTGTGATTAAAGTTTAGGTTTCGGGCGCTAGCTCAGTCTTATGATTGAATAGCGAAAGTTCGAAGATAGCGGGCAGATTTTAGGAATTTTTGTATAATAGAGTTGCTTAGAATAGGTAATTGGCTAAAACTGATTATTATTCAACAGACTCGTAATGGACGTAGGACTGCCCACTAAGCGCCATTGCGCTGTAGAGACCCTGAGCGGGGGCATGAAGAGGAAGCTCTCTGTAGCTATGGCTTTTGCTGCTGGGTCAAGAACTGTAATCTTGGATGAGCCCACTGCGGGTGTGGACCCTTATGCTAGGAGAGCCATATGGGACCTTCTTATCAAGTACAAGAAAGGTGAGCTAACATATACAGGCATTACACAGAACATTATTTTGTCGGGAAACTGCACTAAGGTAATTCAGTTTAGTTTAGGGTGACAATGGCTTGCTTTGGAGTGGTTAACATCAGATTTGGGTTTTAGCCCAGAAAAAACATTCAACTTTCCAAGTACCTTAAGAATGTAGCCAATCAGAAGGCTAGACCACTGGTGGTATTACCCTGCTGGTCACGTGCAAAGATGTTTTCCCACGAAACTGTGCTGCCTCTGTCTCATTGTTTTTCTTTTAAATAACTCCTGGGTTGCCGCAGGCCAGGAATTGGTCAAGGAAAAAATTCTTCCAGGTCATCAGGGAAAAGTCAAGGAATTTTATTTCGAATCAGTTGATATTTTGAAGAAAAGTCAGGGAAAATGAAATAATTTAACACGGCTGATTTTAATACCATTGAAGGCTGGAAGAAACATTTGGGGTCACTCTGATCTCAAGGATATTTTCACTTAATGAAGAAGGAAAATTTGTTGAAAACCTATCATACTTAATGAACGAGTGGAAAGGACGGCTGTAAGTTGAGGCCAGAAGCCGCTACTAGATATGATACTTTGTATTATTTCGCGAGGGAAATCTTATTTTTATGATGGAAAAATGAGGGAAAAGTCAGGGGATTTTGAAAGGTGATGTCTGTGTTAACCATGAACTAGCCACCAGTAGTAGTGAGATAAAACGTGCGATTCCTTCACGGCTCGTTTGCAGACAATGAAATCAAGGCTTTAACATACCTGATTATTCGGTGAGCTTACGTTTCCTGTTGAAAGGGTTGTAAATAAGGAGTTCACTAGGATTTGAAATTTTGTGATGTCTTTAGTGGACATTCAACTATGCATAGATTAATTTAGTATTTATTAAATGCTGTCAGGTCGAACTATCTTACTGTCGACGCATTTTATGGACGAGGCTGACCTGTTAGGAGACCGTATTGCTATCGTCTCAAACGGGAAGCTCCGTTGTGTAGGCTCACCACTCTTCTTGAAAAGCCACTTTGGAGATGGCTACCACCTTACTCTGGTGAAGAAGCGCGAAAGAACTCCCCAGGGGTCCATAGTGAATGTGCACGTGTCATCAACAGGATCTAGCCAGGCCCTGGAAACTACTGAGACGACTTCAAGCGAGAACACACTCCAGCCCGGTAAGTGCAGCATTAAAATCATAACAATTCTAGGGTACTTCGAACTTCTTGTACAAGATGCCGCTGAATCTTGAGCAAGCAGCCTAATACAGATACTTTTTTGTCTATAACTTCATATTAATATTTATAAGTTAGCACACATTTTGGTGTGACATCTGAATCGAGTGTTATGTGAAGTCTGTGTGCTGCGTCCATGTTATTTCTTGTCTTATGTTGTGTTTTTTCCTCGGTATTCATTGCTGTACTGTACTAAATGACTGAGTGACCCACTGACCATAGTGACCGAACTGTACTATGTGGTGTTGTTACCATAGTGACCGTACTGTACTATGTGGTGTTGTTACCATAGTGACCGTACTGTGCTATATGATTGTGTGACCATAGTAGTTGACTCGCAGCTCAGCGAATAATAAAGCTACGTTAAACAAGAGACCTACCCTCTGAAACCTTTATGATCCACAGATCATCCGAACTTCGGTGAAGATCATGTTAAAAAAGTGACGAACTTCATAAAATCTCACGTACCGGCGGCCAGGCTAGAACAGAACACAACGCAGGAATTCACGTTTGTTCTTCCTGATAACTCAGTCAAGCGAGGGGGATTTGAAATTTTCTTTAGTGATCTGGAGGCGAAACAAGACGAACTGGGGATAGACAGTTTTGGACTTACTGATACTTCTCTCGAAGAGGTAAGTTTTCATACAGATTATGGACATAAGTATGGGGTCGTCGTGTTGTGTTACTTCCACAATGCCTGTCTCTACCAAGGAGTATAACTGGGTCCTGGCTAGTTTTCGAAGAAACTGGGTCTTCATTAGTTTCATGAACCTGAAAAAATGCTGGAAGGTAAAGCTGCGATGGACGAGCATCTCATCGAGCCTTTTGAACCTCTAGGCTGGCTTTGGAAAGGCGTTTCGTTTTTATGGTTTCGAATAGTTAGGAACTTGGAGAGCATTAAACGGTTTTGGCAGATAATAAACTAAGTTTGCAGGTTTTCTAGGGGATGCTACGAAGTAAGATAAAGTCTCTCATTGGATACGTTTTACTGATGTTATTTCATATCCCGGATTTCTGGTGCAGGTTTTCCTGAAGGTAACTGACGTTACATCTCGAGATGAATCCGGTGAGATATATCTTAATGTGTTCTTTGTTTTAAGATAGATAGATAGATAGAAACTTTATTAAGAATGTCATCAACCACCTAGCTGGGGAAAAACTCCCCTACTAATACGGGGACATAACAAAAACGAGTTAAATTAGAAAAAAAAAAAAAAAAAATTCCCAGGCACACTGGGAATTAAAGTACTGGAAAGTTTTCCGTTTCTCGCCGATCTTCGTTAGACTTCTTCTATAACCATCCCCCTCCTGCCCCAGTCACTTGTCTTGTGGACATTTGTTTTTAATTTTAAGGATTTTGGCGTTTGCGTCTTGTGGCCGCTTACCGTGCCATTGTGTAATATACCTGGTATATTTTGTCGTTGCACGTCTTTTCAGTTCTTTACTCGTAGTGTAACCCTCGAGGCTTCGTGGTCAGCCCCAGAATTCTCCTCTTAGCTTACTATTTTCAGCACAAGATCTTTTTTTTCCCGATAGGGAATAGTTTGAGCTACACGTGTATCAATATCCTAATGTTAACCTTACTCTTTCATCTGATAGAAGAACTCAATTCGTCAAAGTCTGAAGACTCCTTAAACCCTGGCGAGTCCTCAAGCACTATGCTCAGCGGCGACAGCGCGGGACTTGGTGACGAGTGGGATGAAGATATCCCAGGAGACGGAGAAATTGAACTCAACGACTTGCCAAATGTTCGTTACGATGCAAGGGAACAGCTGTTAAGCCCAGAGATTCAAGAAGAGGCCACTGATCAATATGGTCAGTGTGTGTTGAAAATAGCAGATATAACTAACACTCTGATTGGCTGGTTGGTTTTGAAAAAAGCAGAGATATAAGCAGTGTGATAAATGGTCAGTCGGAATTAAAATAAGCAAAATCAGGCTCAGCTCATACAAGTGTTAACGTGTGGCTCTCTAGATATGGTTTGCAACGATTCAAATTGTTTGTCTCACAAGAAATGTCTCCGTATCGTGTTTTTGTTGTCTCCAACATTAAAGACCAATAGCAGGAGAGAAGTGTAATTTTATTTTGTTTTTCCTTAGCTGATCACACGCCGTCGAACAAAGAATTTCAAGGTGTTGGCTCTCGTACATTAACCGGTGTATCGCTAAAACTGCAGCAGTTCTACGCTCTTGTGATCAAACGATTCCACTATGCGCGGCGAAACTTCAAAGGAGTCATCTCTCAGATTCTTTTGCCCGCTATTTTCATCACCATTGCCATGGTAATGGCTCTCTCGTTTCCAAAGCAACCAGACCAACCTCCGCTGGAGCTGACACCGTCCATGTTCCCGCGGCCAAACTACATCCCGTTTGCGAACGAGGCTAAGGGAGTGAACCAGTTGGCGTCACGACTGGACAAAACACTGACCCTGCTCTCCGGGGTGGGGGCGACGTGTTGCCTTCGATCAGTTAACCTGACAACTACGGAAGTCAAACCTTCCAAGGAGGACCTGGCTCAATTGTTCAACCATTCCTGCTCTGTCTCTATTGACGAAGTGTCAGATGAGTATTTCAAACCGTCTAATCTCCACTTGTCGTATATTTACACAAATGGATCTAACGTTAGCCATTCAGTGACGCACAAGGACACGGGCAGGGGATGTCGGTGCTCCCCTAACAAGACAGCTTACGTGTGTGACCGAGGTGCGGCTGGACCACACCCTAAAGAACTGGTCACCATAACACTGGACACTCTACAGAACATTACCGGAAGGAATATTTCAAAATATTTGCTGTACACCACAGAGACGTTCAGGCTCCACAGGTAATAACATGAAATAACCTGTAGACATACCGGTGTAGTGCGTTGAAACTCGCTGAAACAGTGATTTCTTTTAAATAAAAAAAGTAAGTAAACTACAAATATACAACTGTTTTTTGCCATCGTTTAGCAACGGTCACCTTGGGTTAGAATGAACTGGCCGTTATAGAGCCAAAATACCAACAATTGCTCGACCAAACTCGTCCTATGTTCCGCCGAAGTGTACCAACATGGTACGATTAGGGATAAGAAGCAATCAGAGTAAAAAGTAAGGATCGGTGTAGGTTTGGGATGAAAAAATTCTGGCCGTTTGTGGAGGTTGGACTGTACTCAAACCCTCCGACCCCCTTCCTTCTTTTTTCCTTTTTCTTTTCCTTTGCTTTTTTGTAATTTTGAAATTTTAAAGTAGATTTACTCTGTGATTCTAGATTTGTCAGTTGCTGTTCATTGATCCCTTGCGGAAATTTTGATTTCTCAACTGTATATCCACGTTTTGTGACGTGCAGATTTAGCCAAGTCTCGTCTAGACGTAATTTTAGTTTTAGTCCTAGTTTTCTTTAGCAACAATGTAGAATTAGTACATTGTTCATGTTTTTAAAGCAATAAACAGATGATAAACGGAACTTTGGAACCGCTTTTTGCTGTAACCTTGTGGCATTCTGACTTGTAGGTACGGCTCGCTGTCGTTTGGCGAGGTGGTTAGTTTTGTTCCGCAGAAGTTAGACAAAGTTAAAATAGCCTCTGTTAGAAGACTGGCCATTAGAGAAGCTGTCAAGGTTTGTACGGATCAGTTGTGTTTGTGTATGTGTGTAAATTTTAATATTATAGTGTTCTCGTCAGAAATCTCTAGACCAGTGTTATTCCGTAACATTTAGCCTGTTTAAAGATGGAATACTCCTTTTACCAACGTAGTTTAAAGAACATGCTTGGCTGAGCCATGTTGTGTTAAGCATATAAAGAAAAATAACTAAATAACTTTGTTTAAGTGTCGAATGTATTTAGCACTATTGTGCTAATTGGGTCCGTATAAATAAATAAATAAATAAATAAATAAACAAATAAATAAACAAATGTTGCAAATAGAACATAGACCATCAATATTCCCAACTGGTGGGAGGCTGACCAGTTGGCTATTTACCCAATGCGTTCGAGAAGTTGAACGCACTACCGTGAACAAATCCACATAGCGGTAGGGTGGATGATTTGAACCAGGGACCTTCGGATTTCAAATCCAGCGTCCTATTAACCACTTAGCCACACCGAGTGGTTAGCTCAGGGATGATGGAGGATGGGACGCAAACATTATTTATGTTGACCTTCATGTTAGCTTACCTTGTTTATTCTCTTTATTTTAGGCGTGGTACAACAACAAGGGCTACCATGCCTTACCAACCTACTTGAACGTCATGAACAATGCCATTCTACGAGCCTCACTGGCTAAAGGCAAAGGAAATCCTGCTGCTTATGGTACGTATCAGATTTTAGACAGGACTCCTGGTAGCCATCTTCATTCACACAGTCTGAAAGACGCTTTCAAAAGTGTGAAGTTCTTTTTAGAACTCATGTTTATCCTCTGTTTTTCATGTTTTCAATGCTTATGTCAGTTTGTGAAGTGTTGTACTGCTTTTCATGTAGTTTGCACATTTTTCCTGAGGAAAATCTGTATTTATTTTAAATCAAATTAAGTATCCTTAGGTGTTCAGTCATTATGAGCAACTAGAATGTTTGCCATTACATTTGTATTAACAGGCGATGTTTCTTTCCTTTCGCAGGTATAACGGTATTCAACCATCCTTTCAACAAAACTGACTCAAATCAACTCTCGGCCAGATACATGTGAGTAACAAAACATTTTATTAGTTATGTCAGGACAACAGGTAGCTTGTTTTGTACAGCATGCCATGTTCTGGCATGTTCGACAGTAGATTGAGCCCGCGACATTCAGCGGAGATGTTGCTAAGCAACGTGACTTATTCTGATGATGACAAGTTGACGTCACAGCTTTCATAGCGCGAGAGTATTTCTGATTGGACAGCAAGAATAGAAACAAGTTTTGCTATTTACGGCGCGTTTCCCGGATTGCTTTGTAACGATTAACGTGAGTTGTTAAGTCGAGTTACAGATCCATTATTCATTAGTAAGACGCATCCATTTGTTTCTTTTTCGTCTCTTCCAGGCGTCAAGGCACAGATCTTGTGATTGCCATCTTTGTTATTATCGCCATGTCCTTTGTACCGGCCAGTTTCGTCGTGTTTCTTGTTACCGAGAGATCGTCCAAAGCCAAACATCTGCAGTTTGTCAGCGGTGTTGATCCTGTCATTTACTGGCTTTCTAACTACGTCTGGGATTTGGTAAGTGTCAAGGTTTCATGGCTCTGCTTATCACGCAGTTGAGCTCAAAGAGCGTCTGCGCAGGAGGCTAGGATTACGCATGATGGTTGCTATATTTCTTGGTGATGATAACTGCTTTTAAAACTGAACTTGCTATGTCGTAACCCTTAAATTTCCATGCGTGATCAACGTTTAATTAAGGTAAATTTTCCCTTACAACATCACTAGAATTTCAAAGAGGCAGCTGATGAAATAAAATCGGTATTTAATGAGTGGATGCTGTCTTGTTGTAGAACTTAACTCTCAGAACTAAGATGAACTAAATGTGTGACAGTCAGTAGGGAGAATGTAATATTCAAGTTTAGAACTAAAACAAGCTGGTTTTCGTCCTCTTCAGTGTAACTACCTGATCCCAGCTTGTGCCTGCATCACTTTGCTGCATGTATTCAAGGTTCCTGCTTACTCCTCGGACACGAACTTCCCAGCTGTTGTGTGCTTGTTCTTACTGTATGGGTGAGTTGCTATGATGTAATATATCAAACACGCGAGACAGTGTTTCATCGGGATAACCAAACACCGAGAAGAGAGTTGAAAATACGACGCGCAGCGATCGAGGTGTTTGGATAGCCGATGAAACATTGTCTCGAGTGTTCGATATGTCTTCTCAATTGAAACAAAAACTAAGGAGTAAACGCAGAAGTAAAATGGTCAAAATCTACGCTAATTAAGACCGGGTATCCAAACCTCCTTCACGGCTGTGATTTTCTTTTAACTTGATGAATTATTAATGAGTTTGAGAAGTAACTGTTAAGTTCACTGTTACCTTTGCAGACTCCTTTGTGGAGAAAGGTACTGTGAGAGCAAAGTGTATTTTCCAAGATCACAGTGCAGAGACCGCTGAAACCCGCACTGCTCAGTGTGAGACTAGACGACGCAATCTAACAAATAGGTTCCATGTTACCGTGCGTCTGTTCAATAATCGATCACAGATGGCGTCAAAATGTGACTGTTAGACGAGTGTGTCACTGATGTTCTTACCACATTTTGACGTCTTCTGTGGTTTGTTACTAAATAGACGCACGGCAATATGAAATCTGTTCGTTAAATCACATTGTCTAGCAACGTGGCATCTACATGTTTAATAAAATGAAGAAACAAAGCAAATGTTAATGATGTCATCTATTCGTCTGTCCTCCAATTGATCATAAGTAAGAGCCAATCATAATGCGAGAGTAATTTGACTTCTCATATAAAATCAATAAGGCAACTGTCCCATTGAATGAGCATTCTTATCTCCTCGTCTTATGTCCACTCACTAACTAACGTGTTGTTCCATTTCAGATGGTCCATCACACCTATCATGTATCCAGGAGCATTCTTTTTCAGTGAAGCTAGTTCAGCTTACGTGTTTATGATTGTGGTCAACCTGTTTGTTGGAGTCACCGCCACGGTTACTACCTTCATCCTGCAGCTCTTCCCTGATGATGTGGTATGTGAAATCACGAAACAAGCACTGTACGCTCTTACAACCACTAAACAAGAAACGTGCTTTTATTAAAACGAATGATCCCGTCTGAGCCTGCTGCCTTGAACCAGAGGAGTTGCTTAGGAATGTAGCGTACTCTTATTACGTCATACTGACGGAACAACTTGTCAAGTAGTCGCGAGTGTTTGACAAGAGGCTTGTCTAGATCGGTGACAGACAGCTCATTACTGTCAACACAAGAAATAGATTTTCCTCGATCGAACTGCCGAAAATGAACTTGGAGTTTGACCGTCGGAGTTTTTCGTTTTTAGGGGCTTCAATTTTTAACAGTTTACCGGCGGACATAAGAACTCTGAACTCTAGGCTTTTATATAGGCAAAAGGCCAACGAACATTTTTATTTTTAATTTTTAATCGTGAGTTTTTATGTTTCCCATTGTACTAGTTTTGCCTTTTTAACTTTTTACCTGTTTAAAATTTTTAAATTTTTAAATCTTAAAGGACC